GGACAGGTGGTCATTTCCAACATATACATTGGAGGTACCTGGGGCAATGACTTTCTCTGCAGGATTCACTATACAGTGTCTCACTTCCAGCAATTTGTAAAAATTATTTTTGTCATCATTAGGTTAGTCATGGTTGGAGCATAGCCACTGACAACTGTGACAGAATATTGTGTATTAAGGGATCAATACAAAAATCACCACACAGTCAAAATACCTTAAAAACACACACACGCAAAGTATACACATCAGACAATTTAGAATGGCAAAGCCAACTCCAAGTTGATGCTGTTGTCCTTGATTTTTTTCCAGAGATGAAAAAGGTAGAGTATTGTTTCATTTGCTAGCTCTGTCCTTTGCAGCAAGTTTCAAACAGTACAGTTATGTCAACACTGTGTCTATGAAGACTTTATATAGACTTTCTTTATATAGAACTGTCACTCTCCTGGTAGAAGCTACAAGCATACCAGTGTCCCTTCAATTTCTCCCATGGTAAAGCATGCCCCTTCCGGGAGAAAGATCTTTCACATTAACACGTGGAATTTCTCCGTTCCGAGAGAAGTGCTCTCACAAGAACGAATGCTTCTACACTCCACTCTCAGTCTGAGTCATGCTCCCCATTGCTTACCCAGTCTAGGGACTGCCTGATTTGGGGAAAAGGCTGGGGACTCTGCTTTGCTTCTCCATTCACCTCCCAGTCTGATGGAATCCCAGCAACGTAGGTTGCAGTGGCCCTGTTCTCATCTTCAGTATCCCACAGCAGACCATCTTGGGTATTCTGAGTATTCTGGGAGGGGAGCGGAACAGCAGGGAAAGCCTGCTGCCCACTTCCCAGACCCTGTTCTGGGGAAGTATGGGCATTTTTTCTGCTGGGAATAAGAGGAGTGGAGCACCTACTGCTTTCCCACTTCAGCCACAAACATTCATTTCTGAGAAATCTCCATGGTTAGGGGTGGCTGTAAGCTGAACACCTGTACTGCTCCATCTTCCAGAAAGATTTCTAGCTGTGGAAATTTCTCAGAAATGAATGCCTAATTATGGTCTAAGTTCATGATCAATACATGCAGACCTTCCCTGAGGTCAGCCAGGTCCATCTGGATTCTAGGGAGTACAGACATTTCAAAGAGGAACAATGAGATTTTATTTTCTACCACAGTGATGGAGATGCACCAGTTCTGGTTTGCCATTTACGAATAGTGCTGATTAGGCTTTGTGTACTGCACCTTTCCTAGGGACTCCCCATGCAGGGCATGGATTTTACTCCTAAAATCAGGTGGTCTGGTTATCTCTAGGCAATACCCTACTGATCAGAGAACACAAAACCACTATACATTGGATCTCTACATTGAAGCTAAGCACAGAGCTCCACTTTCAACTTGTCATACCTGCCAACATTGCTCAGTCCATTATCTTGTTCTTTTCCTGCACAAAAATTTAAGGTGCCAAAAGTGCTCACACAGTTCACTAAGACCCCAGTATCTGACAATACAGAAATATTACAGCAGACTTCCTCAGCCATAGCCAAGTCAGGAAGCTGCCAACCCCTTTTTTGCCTTTGCCAAACTTTGCTTGCCAGCTCCTCTTAGCTGTTGACACACAAGATGTCCTGCCATTTAAACAGGTTAGTGATACAAGACTCTAGTCCAGTCCTGGATATTTTATCAAGGTTTATTTCTTGAGTCTTTTCTGGGCAGTGTGACTTTACCCAATGGGAGCCTTAAATTAGGTGCTACATGCTACCCACAAAATGCAGAACAACAAAATATGAACTGGAGAGCATTAGGAAAGAAAATTCCATACCTGACTTTTGACTACACTTGCCCCTATTACATCCCCAAACTCAAAAACCTCCCCCCAAAAGAGAGACAACTTCTAAAACCGGTCCATATCTCTCCTAGCTCGTATATGATATGCACTGTAAATAAATTAAAAAAAAAATAATGCTTCCAAGAAGTGCACCCACACAATTCTTTGAAAAATGTTCTCTGGAAGCAGCAATCCATACTGGAGGGCTTTCCATTTCCTGTTCCATTCCTAGGCTTCTCTAGTGACAGTAGAAGATGATGTCTGAGGCCAGAGACTCAGATAAGCCTCCAGCCTCACGGAAGAGGGACAGCTAGAGTAGACACTGAAAGGTAAAGAAGAGCCAGATACTCAGGATTGTGGAAGTTGGCAGCTTGTCACCTGTAACAACAGACAACACTCCTCTTCTGAACCTACAGGTCTCCAGCTGAAGAAGAGGCATGAATTCCTGGCACTGGATAAGAAGGAACCTATTCCAATGGCAGGAGAGGCCAAGTCATGTACCACAATGGGTGGGAGAACTGAGACCACTGCCACCCAGAGGAAGTGACAGGTAGTGGGGGTTGGTGACTCCCTCCTTCAGGACACAGACATCTATCTGCTGGCCTGACCTATTGGCTCAGAAAGTCTTCTGTCTGCTAGAAGCCCGCATCTGAGATATCACAGATTGATAATCTCACCTCAGGCCCTAATCCTGCAACTCCAAAATGCAAAGTGCCTTCCCAGGCACCCACTGTGGCTTCCCTTCTCCCCTACAGACACACCCGTGTTTCATGGCCCAAATGGCAAACATAAAAACCTGATCCAAACCAAATACTTAAACCTTTCTGAATCTACATATCACAGCAAGTTTTTTCCTGCTCCTCCCTGCCTTATCAGCTAGTTCCCTTCAGGGTACCTACTTTGCCTGTGTACCACTTTTCAGCAAAATCTGTGTTCCCAGAAGCTCTTCTTCCTTAAGAGTTCAGGACCAAACTGACTTCTTTGGCTCAGGTGCCAGGTTTAAGGTACCCTGGGCTCCACCCCTTCTGGTCATATGCTCTCCACAGCCAGGCACTTCCTCTGCCTGCAAATCAGCCTCTCACTCTCTGCTGTAGTCTGCTCAGCTGCACTTGAACTACAGCTTACTGCATCTGTTACTTACTGCAAGGCAGCTTACCCCAAGACAGTTGCTTGTAGCTCCTCTCTTTATCTTCCCTTGGCTACTTAGGGCTTTGTTACATGGTAATTTTGGGTGGCTCCTGAATGCTAAACACCTGGATTGTCTGCATATTAACACTTGAAAGTGATTTAAGCACTTGCTATGTTGTTCAAAGTGAGGACATTTCAGGGTAGGGTAACCTCTGATCTGTGTTATTCAGCTTGTGTTACACTAAGGTGCAGCTACTCTAGGCTACACCTTACTGTAAAAACCTCCCTTGCCCCTGCTGGCCCAGATCAGGGCCACTGCCCACCCTCCCCAGCACACCACATTCCCACTCACTGGCTCCCCACCCCTCCCACCTCTACTTGCTTGTTGCTTCCCTTGCTATCTGTCCCAGAGGAGCAGGCAAGGAAGGGTTAAACTGTTTGATCATGATCAGCCACTGCTGCTGCTGTCTGGGCCAGAAGAGTAGCAGCCCAGGTGCAGCAGCCCAACAGGCAGGTTAACCCTCCTCTGCCTCCTCCTCTGGGACAGACACAAAAGGCAGCAACAAGTAAGTTATGCCCAAGAGGCAGAGGGGAACCCTGAGAGGGAGTGAGATGGGATGGAGGGGGAGCCCTGGGGTGTGGACGGAACTGGAGGAGCTTCAGGAGGCAGAGGGGAAGCCTGGAATGGGAGGCAGGGCATTTGTGCCTTTCAGTCCTCTAGGACCCTGCTGGTTTGAACATGTGACTGCTCCAAACTTGAGCTAGCACCAACATCCATCAACATGTGTGCAGCTCAGCCTAAAGTGTAACAAGGCCCTTATTTTCCTGCAGCTGCTACTCTGACTCTTAAAGTAACAGGGGTTGGCATTCCAAAAGGCGTGACTTGGAAGAGATGGGAAAGACAAGAAGGGGTGCCTTCACACACAGACTTGTTAACCTAGTTAGGATGGCTTCAAACTAGGATCACAAAGGACAGACAAAAACCATGAGGCAAGTAAATTATAGAATCATAGAAAGGGTTGGAAGAGACCTCAGGAGGTCATCTAGTCCAATCCCCTGCTCCAAGAAGAACCATCCCCAACTAGATTATCGCAGCCAAAGCTTTGTCTAGCCAGGTTTTGGAAAGCTTCCCCCATTTCTCTGGGTAACTGGTTCCAGTGTTTTACTATCCTCCTACAGAGAAACTTCTTCCTAATATTTAACCTAAACTTCCCTTGCTGCGACTTGAGACCATTGCTCCTTGTTCTGTCATCTGCCACCACTGAGAACAGTCTAGCTCCATCCTCTTTAGAACCTCCCTTCAGGTACTTGTAAGCTGCTATTGAGTCCCTTCTCAGTCTCCTCTTCCCTAGACTAAATAAGTCCAGTTCCTTCAGTCTTTCCTCATTAGTCATGTTCCTCAGCCCCCTCACCATTTTTGTTGCCCTCTGCAGGGCTCTCTCCAATTTTTCCAAATCCTTTCTGTAGTGGGGGACCCAAAATTGAACATAGTATTCCAGATGTTGCTACATTAGTGCTGAATAGAGGAAAATAATCACTTCCCTTGGCCTGCTGACAACAAACCTACCAATGCAGCCCAGTATGCCATTAACCTTCTTGACAAGAAGGGCACACTTTTCTGCAGGGCTGCTGCCAAGCCAGTCAGCCCCCAGCCTGTACTGGTGCATAGGATTGTTCTGTCCTAAGCGCAGGGCTTTTTATTTGTCCTTGTTGAACCTCATGAGATTCCTTTTGCCCCAATCCTCCAATTTGTCTGAATCCTAGCCCTACCCTCCAGGGTATCTACTACTCCTCCCAGCTTGGTGTCATAGTAAACTTGCCGAGGCTGCAATCTCTGCCATCTTTCACGTTGATGAAGACATTGAACAAAATCGGCCCCAGGACCAACCCCTGGGACACTCCACTTGATACCAGCTGCCAACTAGACATTGAGGCATTGATTACTATTCTCTGAGATCTATGATCCATCCAGTTTTCTATCCACCTTACAGTCTCCTTACCTTGCCTGGGAGAATGTTGTGGAAGACAGTATCAAAAGCCTTGCTAAAATCAAGGTACACCACATCTACCGGTCTCCCTGCATCTACAGAGCTAGTTATCTCATTGTAGAAGGCATTCACGTTGGTCAGGAATGACTTAAATAAAGAGCCAGGGGATTTGGATAAAAACTTAGTAAGGGGAGAGAATAGTGGAACCTTGGCAATGTGCTCAGGGAGAGAATAGTACAATCAGTTAGTTACCTAATATATTTATGTAATAATTCAAGAAGCCAGGGAAGAAATGGGGAGAATTCTAGTACAATCGCAGAATTATGATGTAATTGGAATTACAGAGATGGAGTGGGATAGGGTATAACTTATTCAGGAAGGACAGGCAGGAGAAAAAGAGGAAGTGTTTCACTATATATCAAGGAAATATCAGTGATTATGGCAAAATAGGTTCTGGGGTTCACTGCATGTGCCTCTCTATCTTCTGAAATCTCAAGCTTCAGTACGTAAATTTAGGTTGGAGGTTAGGAGGAACTTTCTGACTCTAAGGGTGTGTCTACATGAGATGCTAACTGTGCAGTAGCCTAATAATACTGTGCAGTAGCACATCACAGCACAGACAGTACTAATACACTACTGTGCAGTATTATTAGGCTACTGCACGGTAGCGGCACTAAAATGGCATTTGCTAGCACTACTGCACAGTAACCCTGATTACTGAGCATTTATTTAGTACTTGATTATACAAGTAGTAAATAAAATGTTCAGTAACCACTATGCATTAATGAAAGTGCAGATGTGCCCTAAGGGTGGTCAAGCATTGGAACAGGCTACCTAGAGAAGTGGAATCTCTATTCCTGGAAGTTTTGAAGAGCAAGTAAGACAGACGCTTAGCTGGGATAACCTTGTGAAGTCCCTTCCAGCCCTACTTTCCTATGATCCTATGCTTATGCTGCTGGACTTCTCTGCAGTCTTTGGCAGAGTAGACCATAGGGTAATACTAAGGCACTTGTTTTGAACAGAGGGCCAAGCATTGCAGTGGCTTAAATTGTTCTTCTTCAGCAAAACTTAAGGAGGGATGGAGATGGACAACTGTTCTCCTCAGCAGTCCTCACCTGGTAGGTCCCAGAAAGTTCCCTACTGTCTGTGCTTCCTTCCATATATACATGTGACTACAGGAAGGCACACTGAGTTGCCATGGGTTTAGCTGCCAACAGTATGCTGATGAACCTCAATTAAGTCTTTCACTCTCAAATGATGCAAGCACTGCCACTACTAATCTGTCAGAATGTCTCATGGAATTAGCTCTTGGAAGAAGAGCAGCTGGCTGAACTGGTTTCCAAAAATGTCTTGTTTCACCTCTAGCTTGCTGGAAATGTTTCCCCATCCTCCTGGATGGGGACCAGGCCAGAGCAGCCCATGCATTTATTTCTTCCAATCTGGATGCGAAGCTAAATGTGCAGACAATCCACAGGCTCTACCTCATACAGAATGCAGCTGTCCACCTTCTCCATGGCTCAGACCACAATGAGAATATCAAGCCAGTTCTAAATTCTCCCTGCTGGCTCTCAGCTCATTTCTACTGCCAGTTTATGTGTCTTGATCCTAATTTTCAAAGACTACATCAAAGACCAAATTCCTATCTGTGAACCACCATAATAGCTGCAGTCCTTTTGAGACAAGTCATGTGACAATGCCCAGGCATGAAGCATGAGAGAAATAGAAATAAACTATTTTTTGTTGAGACATGGCTATGGATCACCACACTGGATCAGAATCTGACCATCTTTAAGAAATATTGCTAAGCCTTTTCGTTGCAGGTGGCATTTAGAATTTTGAATGCAAGTCTTGAGTCCAAAATCCTACCAGAAACCTTCATCCAATCCAGCTTATCACATGCAGAGCGTTTTTCTCTGAAGGAGACAGAGTCCATGAAGTTAGAGACTCCTCTCTTACTAAAGGTTTTATGAGGCTAGATAGACGTTTTATATCTTTTCAGTGAAGTTATGTTAAAAGGAGAATAATCTAGACATCCAAGTGTTGGTAAAGTGAAGGGAGTATTACAGGCCAGACTAACTTGTAACAAAGGATTTAGGTTCCTGTGTCCGCAAACTCAACAAGTTTCCAGCAGGACCATCCTCTGCTTCTTAATAGAGATTGTTTGTTGGTGCTTTTGCACTTATCTTGCAAAGCAAATAGAGGGCTAAATTCAGTAGAGTTTTGCAGAGGTGAAACTACCTGCCTCACAAATTACAAATCCCCAGGCACGGCCTGTGCTTGTAGATCTCCGAGGGACTATTATTTTGTAGGTTTTTACTGTTAAATAACTCTGCAATGCTGCAGATTTTGTGCCACGTACATATTTAAAAAGCTATTGATTAGTCAACTTCACCTAACTGCATTCATTAAATTGGAAACTGTGTGTTACATTGCAGAAGGTAAATATGACCCTGTTGTGCTAAGAGCAATCAGGCTTTTTCAGTGCATCAGTTGAAAGAAAATTCCATGCATCATGCAAACATTTGTTTCAATGTTTTTATGAGATGCTATATCCCCTGACCTGTTTTTGCTGCCAGAAAACTTTAATGTTTGCTATCACTTACCATATTTTCTTGTATACAACATGTCCCCTAATAAGACACACCTGGTTTTTGACTGGCAGAATGAAAAGAAAAATATTTTTCCTTGAAAATATCGGTAAGTAGCAGCAAGTAACTGAGTTAGCACCTGCTGCAACAGGAACTTATCCCATGATGGAGGCAGGAGGGAGGGAAGGACAGAGGGGAGAGAAAGTGCCACCAGCCGGCAGCTAGTGAGCCCCATGTGCAGCACATGCAGTGTTACTTTCAGGTTAAAATGGAGCCCCCTCACCTGGAGGCCAGGCCCAGCTCCCTCCAATACCCTAGCTAGGGTAGTTGGTGGGGCCTGCATGTTTAGGGGCTCTGTTCCGCCTGCCCCCTCCAGATTAAGCTGGGCACAGCAGCCTGGCAGCTGCTGCTTTCTTCATTCCCTCTCTGCTGACAGCCCCAGAGCTGGGAGGGGAGAGTCGGGTTGGGAAGAGGGGTGGTTCAGCTGAGTCCTCGGAGGCTGCTAGAGTGCCCCTGCCTGCTGGCCAGGAGAGCCAATGCAGGCAGGTTCAATTGCCACCCCCCAACAATCCAACAGGCCTGTTGGGTTGGGGGAGGGGGGTGCTCTAACTCATGGTGCTTTATGTAGAAGTCAGAGTCTCAGGAGACCATCTAGTCCAACTACCTGCTCAAACTTATCTAGATTGTCCCAGAAAATGTTTGTCTAACCTGCAATCAAAAGTTCCAGTGATGGGGATTCTATAACTTCTCTAGGTAATGTGTCTCAGGGTGCGTGCACTCTCATGGTTAGGAAGCCTCTTCTAATATTTAACCTTTTGCAAGTTAAATATATTATTTTTGTTCTGCCTCCTATAGACATAAAAAACAATCTACTTTATACCCTTTTTTTATTTAAAGGCTTTTCAGTCAAGTCCTTCTACGTGTCCTCTAGACTAAATAACACCAGCCTCTTTCAAACTTTCTAGCCCTCTAGACTCTCTCCAATTTGTTCACATCTTTTTTGTATTTGTAGTGCCCCAAACTGGATGTGGTATTTCTAGTCAGGCCTCCCCAGGGCTCAACAGAATGGAAGATTCACTTCCCATGACTTGCATACATCTCTCCTGTGAATATATCTCTCCATTCTATTAGCTTATTTAAATAAAAATATTACCTCATGCATTATATTTAGCTTGTGATCCACAATAACTCTCGGAACCTTTTTCTGGAGTACTGACTCTACTTAGTCATTCCCTATTTTGTTACATCCTAAGTATAGTTTTTTGTACTTGTCCTTACTGAATTTCACCCTGTTATTGCAGACTGTTTTTCCAATTTATCAAGTTCATTTTGAATTCTTGTCATGTCCTCTCTAGTGCCTGCAACACCATCTCCAAATGTAATAAGTGTATCAATTCCATCCTCCAAGTAATTAAGACACCTTCATTAAGATATTGAAACTATTGAATAGTACCAGACCCAGGAAAATACCTCTGGGTATCCTACTTGATACGTCCCTCTTAGTTTGACTTTAAGATACTGATGACTACTTTTTGAGCATCATTAGAAAACTATTTATGTGCCCACCCTTTAGTAGTTTAATTTAGACTGTGCTTTCTTAGCTTGCTTTTGTGAATGTGGTGAGAGATAATGCTAAAAGCAATGTACCCAACAGACCATTTCTAAACAGAAGTCAATTGAGAAAGGTACGGAAGAAGTAGAATGAACTACGTGGAAATGTGGGAAAGTTTCAGACATTAAGTGCTATATAAGATTGGTTGGAGAAAGTTAATAAGATCATTCAGCTAGTACCTTCATCACTTTACACCCACAACTGTATTCCCAAGTATACCTTTCCATACCCATGTTTGCCACCTCTATATAGCAAAACACGCTGATTTAAAGTAAGGCAAAGAGATGTAACACAGCACAATGCGCCAAGATGCAGGGGTCAAGTATAATACCATCCTGACATTTACAGACAAATGGCACTAATTTCAAACTGAATTCACCTGCTCTCTCTGTTTTACATTATGAAAAGCTTGTGGTGGATTAAAAGAGACTATTTAAGTGCCTCTGGCTGGAGAATACCATCAGAGTAAATTATAAATTTCAACTCCTCGCTCACAGAAATAACCTGTTCAAAAATTTTGCCTTACACATTCTCTGTGCTAACTTCTTTATGTTCAGTAGCATGCGCTGCTTTGACATACTGAAACAAGTCGAAAAAGGACAAGCTGATTTTAGAGACCAGAGTGCAATCATTTTCAGAACACTCAGAAGTGAGGCAAACACAAGTAAACCCAGAGGAATGAGGGAGATGATACAAAGCTACCTTTGAGCCAAGATGTCCCCAGTCGCCAAAAAAAGCAAAGAGAATTATAGTAGTTTTTCTGTGCATTTACCTGGGTCTGAAACATATTAGATGGTACTGGGTATTGAACCTACTGCCAACTATGAGCCATACTGTTATGCAGAAGGCAGAGTAGAGTTCAACCTTACAGACTAACAAAATCAGAAATAAGGTGCGACTTGACTGCCTTCTGCCTGACTTCAGACTAGTATTCAAGACACATTATGCTCTTTAAATAAGAAATTCCTACACTGTTGTGGAAAGTTTGCAAGTCATGGGGTGCATCTACATGAGGACACTACATCACCGTAGTGACGAGCTATGGCAACGTAGCTCATCATTATGGCAATGTAGGATCAGCAGGCATGAACCACGACACCAACACTACTGCACAGTAGCAACAAGCTAAAGGTCAGAAACAACCTGTAACAACAAGCTAAGGGTCAGAACAGGCTAAGGGTTGAAAAGCTTAGCAACAAGCTAAGGGTCAGCAACAACCAGTGCACCACCGGGACTGCACACTACTGGTGGGTACTGCACATTCATTCACTACTTGCTTTAGCAAGTACTAATGACTGTGCAGTACCAACTGTGCAGTCAGGAGCACATATAGACATATACCCCCAGTCTCTTTCTTATATAAAGAAAGGTAAGGAAGCACTGTGGGACTAAAAGTAGGGTGTACATTTGGTTTGAAAACCACACTCAGTTATCCATGGATCAGTGTCAAAATGGAAGGACGTAGTAAGTGGTGTCTCACAGGGATCTATCTTGGCTCCAATACAATTTTATATTTTCATTAATGACTTGGATAATGGAATAGACAGCACACATTAAATTTGCAGATGATACCAAGCTGGGAGGGGTTGAAAGCACTTTGGAGGATAGGATTAGAATTCAAAATGATCTTGACAAGTGGGAGAAATGGCCTGAAATAAACAGGTACAATTCAATAAGAACAAGGACAAGACTGCACGTAGGCTAGAACAAGCAGCTACACAAATACAAAATAGGGAACAACTGGCTAAGCAGCATCCTGCAGAATCATGATCACGAAGATCATAGTTAATGACAAATAGAATACCAGGCAACAAAAATATTCTTTTGCAAAAAGAATGTTGCATGGTGTTGTCAAAACTGGATTAGATTTATAGCCTAGTATTTAAGACAAGCACTGGGATGTGCTCCAGCTGGAAGACTGTCCAGTATGGCACATCACACTTCAAGAAGAATACAGAACAAAAGTAGAGAATGCAGCAGAGGCCAACAAAATGAACAGAAGTCTTGAAAACATGCTGTGACAGGCTCATGCCCAACAAAGTTGCCAACACACCGTGGACATGTCCCACCCCGCTTGCATCATGGCACACTTGGGCCTATTCACCCACCACAACTTATTTTTACACCTGGTGTACTTTCACTGCCTGGAGGTGATGATCAGGGACCACTGAGGGTCCAGGTGTGACTTTGTTGGTGTGGCTTCTGTTGGGCTCCTCCTCCCCTACACCCCACCCCTTTACACTCAGGTGTTACAGTCTTCTATGGCAGCATCCTGGCATGATGATGAAGCCTTTCCTTCTGTGCTAGGTATCTGGCAAGACTGCAAGGATCCTGCTGCTGCTTTCTATTTCCCCAAAATCACAACTAAACCAGTCATCTAACTTCAATAGTTCAGACTGGGCAGCCAGGCAGGGCAATGGTGCCTCCATGATGAGTGATCCTCGTCTCAGGTATGGGTTGATTCAGTGCCTGGTGCAAACTTCACTCATCCACCTTCAGGCTCCCTATGCCTCCTGGCAGGTAGCCCTTCTTTCACGGGTTCTTTCCATCCCAGCATTGGGCCAGGTATAACACTGCCTTGTGGCAGCCACTGTCATGCTTAAGCAAGGCTCACTGTTCTTCCAGCCTTTTGCTGGCACATTCCAAGCCTGTGAATGTACTGGCTGGGTACCTGGTGTCGGGGGCTCCCAAATTGGGGTTCTTTCCAAGTTGGCCCTCTCAGGCTCCACTGGGCTGCCCTCTCCCAGCCCCCCTGATTTGGGTGCTTCTTCACAGTCCTCTGAATGTGTAGTGGGATTCCATCATGTCCAGGTTGAACTGCTCACTGGCCAAGTAAGGGGGGCTGGTGTCCTGCTGGGTCCCTGATGCTTCGGTGCTGGGTGAATCATCCGATGCTTTCCTGGGTGTTCCAGCCTCAGTGAAACACCTACTCTTCATCTGGTGGTAAGGTCAGCATCCAGGTTTTTCTCAGATGCCTTGGTGGCAGGACAGGTGTGCGCCAGTTCCCCACACCCTGAAAGCTTGCTAAAAAGTTTTTCCCCCAACTATTTAAGTTGTTCTAATAAAATATATCAGATTCACCCAAAGAACCTTGTCTGCCACTTCCTCAGGCATGCAGGTCTTGGGGGAAGGTCCCTTCTGGCAGTGGGGAGAGTGTCCAGATTCACTTCTGGTGCTCCAGTGTGCTCTCCCCCTGCCTCTGACTCTGGGCCCAATTTTAGCCTGTTGCCTCTGGGCCCTGGGCCAACTGATGGAGCTTCCTCAGTAGGTGCAGTGCCAGCCAACTTGATTGTAACTTGGCCACCTGGGCTGCAATGACAAGGTGAGTCAGTCTGCCTTATAAGGACAAACTAAAAAAATGGTCTTTGGTCTACAGAGGAGAAGACTGAAGGGATGAGAGTCTTCAGCTAGATGAAAGTTTACTGTAAATAGGAAGATTATGAACTGTTCTTCAACTCTACTTGGATAAGGTAAGAAGCAATTATTGTAAACTCTAAATGTAAGGGTATTTTACCACTGAAATAGATTACCTAGGAAGGCTGTAGAATCTCCATTGTTGCAGGTTTTTAAGGTCAGCTTAGACAAAGGTGCTAGGAAAGATTTACATATAGTTGATCCTGCCTTGGGGCAGGCAGATCTTCCCTCTAGCCCTGTTTCCTATGATTTTTCTTTTATGAACATAATGCTTAGTACACTGTAAGGCATCAACATACTCCAAAAGGAGGTACTTCTTTGTTTTGTTGCTCAGAGACCATACTAACACCTTCCCCCTTTCTAATTCCACTGAATATGTTACTCATCAGTTTTGCTGACACTGCTAGAATAGCCAAAGAAGTGTCTAATTTCCCACAAAAATGAGTTGTCTTGATTTGACAATATTCAAAGCAATTCTTTCTTTTAACCTGGCTTTGTAATTTCCTTGCTAAAATAAAAAAAACCCCTTAAGATATAAAAGCCATTAAGAAATGTTAGTGTTTTTTTAACTGAGTATCTTTTGAAACTACAGGACATAGTTAGCCTATTTAATTTCCTGTGACATTCAGAACAGAAAGACAAAACTATGAAATAAATGCCAAGGGCTTCATTCTGCCTTTAGTGCAGGTGAACATCTCTCC